TCATATTGACTGGGCTAATGGGGAAATATTGGAATGGGGTAAGGATTGTGATCAAAGGTGCATATTACATATCACCAAGAGAGTCGGCACTATTGAATTACCCACTATTACTCCTCAAAGTTCCCATACAATACTAGGACATTAAGCAAGTATTTAGCAAAACTCAATCTAATGTGTTACCTCCTCACAGACCGTATGACTGTTCCATAAACTTACTACCCAGCGCTATGCCACCTAAGGGAGCCGTTTATGCTCTGTCCCCACAGGAAAGTAGAATAATGGAGGAATATATTAAGGACTCACTCAGTAAAGGCCATATACGCAAATCGTCCTCGCCTGCTGGTGCAGGATTCTTTTTTGTGTCAAAAAAGGATGGCGAGTTACGTCCATGTATCGATTACAGGGCATTGAACAAAATCACCATTAAGAACGCCTACCCCATTCCACTTATTGCTGAATTATTTGATAGACTCCAAGGCGCTAAAATATTTACTAAGCTTAACCTTAGAAGTGCTTTTATGACTATCTCCCCAAAGAATCATCCCCTAAAAATAGCTGCATACAATCCAGTGCATGATAGCCAGACAGGTCAGCCTGTATGCCAGGATTGGCAGTGAACTCTGGGATGACTGCTGAAAAATTATTAGGGGGTACACAGTCATCTGTTCCATGTTCAGCATCAGGGGAATCAGAATATTTGATAGAGTCCTAACAGCAACATCTGAGGAAAGGGATTTAGGGGTGATTATTTCTGATGACTTAAAGGTAGGCAGACAATGTAATAGAGCAGCAGGAAATGCTAGCAGAATGCTTGGTTGTATACAGGGCCGTCTTTAACGCGGGGCAAACGGGGCAGCTGCCCCGGGCCCAGTTTCTCTTGGGGGGCCCGAGGCACCTGCCCCGTGGGCCCCGCTGACCCCGGCGGGCGGGTGGCCGGTCAGGCAGGAAGGCGGGCGCGCGAGGGAGCACTCACTGCTTCCTCTTCAGCTCCCTCGCGCACCGCACTGATGCCGGAGCCGGAAGATGACGTCATCTTCCGGCGCCGGCATCCCTACGCGGCGCGCGAGGGAGCTGAAGAGGAAGCACTGAGTGCTCCCTCGCGCGCCCGCCTGCCCGACCGGCCACCGCCCAGCAGCACCACTGGACCCCTGGACCCCAGGGAATCCCCCCAGCACTCCAAAAGGTAAGGAGGCTGGGGGGATTACATTTAAAAAAAAAGTGTGTTTGTGTGTATGTGTGTGTTAGT